GTAGCTCAGCAGACACAAACCCACCATTATAGTAGGAAAATGTACTCAAGCATGCGAGCACAATGGCTGTAGCCCACAGAGGATACGTCCTAGGACTGAATGCAGCCAACTAAAGTTTGCCTTGGGCTCTGCGTTTTAAAAGCAGTAGGTTCTGGGTTGTAGCGATAAACTGATGGCTGTCGTGTATAAAACCAGTACCTGTGATGTCTTACAGTATTGCTTTCAGAACAGCAAATTTACATTAGAAATGGTGAAAAGCAGAGGGTGGTTAAAAGGACAAATAAGAGAATAAAAAAAAAGTGCCACACACAGGAGACAACTGTCCATTTGATACCTTTCATGTGCATCGAATTCACTAAAAATGAGACCACAGTTAACTTCTGTACCCTGAAGGAGGAATGTATTATTATAAAGATACTACTTATGTACAGCATAGTCTGGATAAATCCTCTACACCGGCCTGCACTTTTCTCGCATCAGAATATAGTTTCATTCTAATCTTTGTAATGACATTCTCAAGTGCTTTCCATAAGGAGATGGAAAAGTTGCTACCAGTCACCTTCTCATTGTCTGGAGTTCGAGTTAATGATCGTTAGCCTTCTCCCTCTGCACAGCTTCCAGGACCTCTGCTTAGTGTCAGAGAAAAGAGTCAAAGCAAAAACACTTAGCAGTTTGTGCTGCTGTGTCTGCTGTGAAAATGTTGCAGGCTTTTACCGTTACAGCCCACTGTGTGTGTGATCAGCAGTTCAATGCCTTGTGTCTCATTCTCAGCTGAGGAGAAGCGGCATCAAGCAAATCTTTTACAGTGACAAGTTGCAGACTGCCATTCTGCCTCCACGCTGCATTTTCCATGCACGACACTGTTCTTCTCCAGACAGCGTGCGTGGGTGTGCACACGTCGCCATGCTAACCGTCACTTAAATGACTAAGTGGTGGCATGACTTGCCAACAGCATGATGTCTCGGTTTCACACGGCACTGGAGGACACCACTATTCTCTACTCTTATCTGTTACATTATCGCATACAGCCTCATGTGCGTCAGGGCTGCTCAAGTGTGTGATCTTATTCTTCCGTGCTGCAGCCTACAGAGCAGGGGTTCTTAATTGATTGACCATTGTGGGCCGCATCCACACAATGCATATACTACCTGTATGGCCCTGAGGCGGTCACATGGGCCGCAGCTGTGTGCTGATTGGGCTGCGGGTTGAGAACTACCGCTACAGCGGCTGAGCCATAACACAGCCATAACACGGCAGCGCTGTGACGTGGGCCGTGGAGACACGCTTTATCGCTGGGGGAGAGCTCTCCTGGTGATTTAACAAAACAAAACACCCACCTTGAGGTGGTAGCTGGTCCGTGGCTCTAAGTTCCAGCTTTCGCTCTCCTTATGGTCCAGGGCTGCTAGGCATCCATCCAGAGTAAGAAACAGACCAGCAAAGGAGGACTGAAATGTCACTGTTTTGCCCCTTCAGATCTACTTTAGGAACCTTCATTAGTGCTACGTGTCTGGGCTTAGGCCTAATTAAGCTGCTTGCAATGGAGCACACTGCTAGGAGCCAGGAGAAAAGGTCAGGTTGAGTCGAGGGGGCTGCTAATCAAATCGCTGCGTGAAGCAGCACGCGGTTTTCCACAGTCTGCGGAGGCGTCCCAAACTGCTCAGCTCTGGTTCTTCGTTAAAGTAAGGAATTGTGCAGACAAGGACAGAATAGATGAAACCAGCTGGTTTATAGCACGCAGCCATCACCCCTTTAGTGGGCAGGAGATTGTGTTCATGGTACACACACACTTCAGAACACTCTCACTGAGGTCACTGACAGCGCCTAAATCCGGAGCGACAGTTGCCTTCAGTGGTTTGAAGGGGAGCGTGCTTACTAGACAAATACTGGAGCTTGGCAACTGGTCCATTTCACTTGGCCCGAAGGATAGCAACGCACAAGGGTACTTGCCTTGTTCTAGGGATGCGTAATAGGCGAGTGTCAACAAACAGCATGGAGCCGAAGAACGAAAAGAGCATTAGGAGAAGGGAAATCCCAAATTTTAATCCTGGCTCTGCCACTGATTTCCTAAATGGCCTTGGACAGTCGCTTTGATTTTATGCTGTGCAGTTTCTCCACTGCTACTGATCTCCTTCAAAAGGGAAGTGGAAGGGATGTGTTTGTACCATGATCCTTCTATGAAGGATGGGCAGACGGACCTTTTATTTGCACCTACTATTATAATCAGCAGATGTAGAGAGAAAGAGTTAGACCTGGTCTACGCAGTTTTTATACTGGTACGGCTCTTGCTTAGTGGGGAGGGAAGAGTGATATACCTGTACAACTCCCACAGCTATAAAAGGTACCTTATACGCCTGTAGCTCATTCCCCTTCCTATATAGGAATAAGTTACATGAACAATTAACTTAATACACTTTCAAAGCAGATTATAGACTACATATTAGCCAGTCTGCTTTGAAGAACTGTGTCATGTATGCAGGTCCTTTGAGTGTACCTGAAAGGCAGCACGTCTTAACCCTTGTGTAGACAATCCCTGAGGCACATTTGCACCAGCGTAACTGCGCCCACACTAGGAGTTACACTACTGATCTTTACTGACATAGTTTAAGGGTGTGCCCACATACAAAACGTACACTGTTCTTACTGCTTTCGGAAATTCCTCTGGCTCTGCGGTTGCACACGGTTTTGGAAAGAGCTCGACATTAACAGCACTTCCTCGATTTAAGTGGAAGGAGAGATCCTAGGGACCCCAAGATGTAATAACTGTCAATCTTAAAGAGAATGGCAGCACCTCTTAATAAGAGCACAGGACTGTGGGTCAGATCGTGGGTGTTTGGGAAGCATGAGCTGATGGGTGTTTGGTCTCATGCCTCTTTTGACTGCACCAACTACAAATAAGTCCCCATTTACACTCTCAGTAAGCAAGCAGTGTTGTCATTTCAGATATTCTCTTTTGTATCACGATTAGCTCTTTCGGTAGGGTAGGGGAACTCAGGACAGTGAATGCAGCCTTCTACATCTTCTTTGCTGTTCTCTGTATTGTGACAGGCATCATCCAGGATTAAAATGTTCCTTTTCACTTCTTGGTGTTGAGTTGATATGGTTGAGTTCCCGTGGAAGACAACTTCCAGAAAGTCAATGGCATAAAGGCACATCTAGAATTCTTCCAGTTAGGACTTTTGGGCAGCAATGCCTTTGGGGGTGCACTTCCAAAGGACTATTTACCCAAGTCACAATGAAATGTTTTAATGGAGTTTAGCAAGGGCTGTAGGAGTTTGCATCTTTCTGCTCAGTGAGCTATTGGGGTTCCAACCAACTGATTGGTCAAGTAGCTTTCAGTAATCCCCATTGAGAGACTTTGGTAAGGAACAGACTACACAAAATGTGATGCAGGATGTACATTTTTTCTTAAAGGAGAGAGTTTAATAGGTTCTTCCACACCACCCTAGAAAATCTAGTGTAGTGTTCCCCTGCAAATGCATCATATTGCAAGGGGGCACCCTGGCTTGTGTTGCCAGTGAATTAAACCATTATATTCTTTATCACCAGCAGACCACGTTACCCCAACGTCTCCTTGAGTAGAAAGGCCCGAACTTCTGCAGCTCTCAGTATCACATCCTGGGCCTAGGAAAGTAAAGATAATGGAGATGGGCTCATTTGAACCCATGGTTTTGAGAGAATAAACGGAACTAGAGCGGATGCAGTTACTAATTCTTTTACCAAAGGGGGTTCCAGACTGCCTTTCAGTGTTCAGGGTACGTCTACACGGCCAATAAAAGGTATGTTAGTTCGCTCAAGTTCAGATAACAGTAAGGACACAGCAGCTTCCCCTGAAGGCTCTCTCAAGCGGAGTTCAACAGCTGCTGTATAGTCACTGCTATTTTTAACACGCATTAGATATTGCAAGTTAAGAACACTCTTTTTTTTTTTGGGCACAGTGTGGACACCTTGAGTCATTGTTCACAGTCTAAAAATGCCAGGGAAAGGGTTTACTTCTCCATTTACACAGCAAGTCATGAACAGAGGCCCTAGGTAAATAAAGAGAAAATGTGAAGCTGGCAACACCGGCAATGTTAATGGTAAATTCAGCAAAACTGTTCTTTAGCTCAGAGTGTGAGGAAAGTCAGAGCCATATGCACAGCGGGCTGATTTGGTACGATCATTGGGGCAGATGTGCCAACTTAATTACCTGTGATTTCTCGAGTGATTAACACTGATAGAACTCCCTCCGTCTCCTAATTCATTAGTGTTAAGGCCTCAGCTACTGATACCCACGGCGGTTAGGTTACCCTAATATAGCTAGATCCTTGCTGCACTTTAAAAGCAATGTTGATCTGTATAACTCCAATCTGGCAGAGATGCTTATCAGTCCTCCACAGGAGCATCATGAGACTAATCTACCTAAAGGTTTTTCTATAGCGTTCATCACCACAGCATTCAAGTCAAAAGATTAATAGTAGTCCTTGTTAGTAAATCACTGGAAGTACTAAATTGGAGTCAGGCATCTAGCTTTTAGGTCTGCCTCTACCATGCCTTTGCTCTGTGCCTCAGTTTCCCCACCTGTAAAACCGAGCAAAGCTTATTCCCTTTGACGAAGGGCTTCGCAATGTATAAATAAGTGCCAAGCGTGAATATTGTCACACAGGCGAGAATTCCTGTTTTTCTGCTCAAATGCTTCATAGTCTTTTTCCATTTTTGAAATTTTAAAAGCAGTTGAACGTTCAGCTCCAGGACCTTGCAAGGGACTCCAGAAGAAAGCTTCCGTATGCTTGTAATTGAAACAGCAACAATCTTTGAATACATTGGTTTTGGCTGCCATCCATTTGCAAGCTTGCACACAAAATCGGATTCAAAAATCCAGGCCTGACAGAGAGGGGTTGCCCTCAGTTACGTATCCTGTTTGAATGAGTCATTGTACTGTCCAGCATACAAGAAGTGATGCTTCTTAGCAAAATGATGAGTGCCCATGTTAACTGTTTGTCTGTCATTTTGTTTCTCTGCAGCTTGAAAGCTATCCTGGTGGGGACGCCTCAGAACAACACAGTGGATCTCTCTGGCATCCCTCTGACACTGAAGGACTTGGACCGCATCATCTCATACCTCCAGCACAGCTCAGAGCACATCGACAATGTGGAGCTGTGCTTTACGGAGCTGACCGACGAGATGTTCCTTCAACTTCTGCCCATCCTCAGTGCCCTGCCTCACCTCACCACTCTCTCCCTGAACGGCAACAGACTCACCAAAGCAATCCTTCGGGACCTGACAGAAACGCTGAAGGACCCCAAGAAGTTCTCCAGCGTGACGTGGATTGATCTGGGCAACAACGTGGATATCTTTTCTTTGCCGCAGCCCTTTTTGGTCAGCCTCAAGAAACGATGTCCCAAGCAAGGCAACTTGCCAACCATTCTGGAGTTCGGGGAGGGCCAGATGAGTGACTTGGAAAGCCAAGAGGACCTGTGCTCAGCTGACGAAGATAGAAACCAACCTGACAAGATCAACAATGCAGATACCAGACGGCTGCTGACAGAGAGAACAATTGAGGTTGGGACGCTGACAAATAAATGTGACTCTGAGCAGGAAGCTGCTTGTGAGACAGCTCAGACATGATGTTCAGCCATGTGTCACTTGGCTGGGTACTTTGAAAAGAGACACTTTAAAACGGATACCTCACCTATGAAGGTTCTTATTAAGTGTTGATTTACATGTTCAGATGTCTATACAATCAATGCTTTGAGACTTTAGACTGTTGCCCCATCAGTGTCCTCTCATCGTATGAATGTCAACCCATTTTGTGTCATAGAGAACATAAAAATGTGATCAAGCTGTATACTTATATTTTATAAAGCTGGCCAGGTACTTTTAAACCTTAGCAATGAGCTGTGCTTTTTATCTCTCTCTTTAAAAAAAAAATCTATAGCACCAAGGTATCGTAATGCCAGTTCCCTTAAATAGCACAAAAGGAGAAGAAAGCAGCAAACAGAATTTGCCAGAGAGGTCTCTGTTTTGAGATGAGATTGTTCTTACTGAATCTAGCAAAATCTTAGTTTTAAAGTTCTCTCTCTTGTAAACAATGGATAAATGGCTGCCTTCCTAAGGAGGACTCTTGCGGAGACCAAATTAAACCTATCCCCACTCTGAACCGCACTGAAGAGTAGCATACTTGGTCAATGACAAAACAACCAGGGGATATTTCTTTGCACCAGCCAGTAAGGATGAAATTCACCTCCTGTGCAGAGGGGTCAGCACAAGGAGAATGTGCCCCGTAAGACCTGTTTTAATTGGAGTATAGTTGTTGGCTGGGCATATGTACAGGGGTGAATTTCCACTGCAGATACTTGCTCCTTACCACCACCATTTGGAATCTAGAAAGGCTGTCTCAGTCTCTGGCCTTACAGGAGTTGGATCAGCAAGACGTCCAGTACTGAGAGCACATTTGGTCTTAGAGTTTGGCTACCACTCCCACTACTGTAAATAACTCCTTTGCTTTCAGTGAAATTACTTGGCCTTTACACCACTGTAACTGAGAGCAGAATTTGGGACCATCTGCAAAGTTTGAATTCAGGGGTTTGGTTCAGGCCCATCTCTAGTACATGTAAAGGGACAGAGCTGTTCCTAACAAATATTTATTACAATATGGAACGTTTATAGAAGAAAAATGAACAAAAAGTTTTCCTTTGGAAATTTTTTAATACACTGCCATTCCAGGGTGGGCAGGCACAAGCCAACTGAAGATACGTCAGGCCTGTACCAATCTTTCAGGTTATTTGACTGTCCCTACTCCCCCCGACCAGAAGTGCTTTGTTTCTAACATTTTTAGAAGAGAAACAGTTTTGAATTTCCAATAGCAAATGGAGATGGGACTTGCACTGCTGGCTTTGAATCTGGATCCTGTCTTCCCCAAAGTTCACAGGTGTTTGGAGCTGGAATTTGCAGTGAGACCCATCTTTCTAGAGCATTTTAGTAGACTTATAAGGACCAAACCTGATTTCCTGGCATGAAATGTAGCCATTTGGCTTTCTGTTTGTATCCTGTTATTTGAATAGCTATAGAGCATCATCTCCTTGGCTCAAGCATGAGTGACAACTCTTTTGGCTTTATCTACAAGTACAAATGCATTCAGAGAGTTTTCAATCTTCCCTTTGGCACTAGCCCCATAACATTGCTACACTATAAGTCTGCTTCCCCTCCACATGCAAGAAAATATCTTATAAGAGATTCTGCTACTCATTTAAATACAGCTGGCAAAATTCATTATGATTTGCATGTATCTAACATTTTTCTAACAGCTCATTCTTTTCACCAGGCATAAAAACCTTGCAGTGAATAAACTTTTTCTGTTTGCAGTAAAGGAGCTATCCATAATCAAAATAAATGACAGTGTTTAATAGAGACCTTGTCTTGAGTTTGCATTTATTACAGGCTTCACACTACCGGGACCACAGTTCACAGCAGCAAAGCCCAGCATATCTGCCTCATTGAAAATATTTCCCCTTTAAAGATACGTGGGTAGGTGCTTTATGAATTCATATCACAGACACTACAGTATTTCTCCACTAAACAAATGGTAGGTAACAATAATACTTCCGGGCTGATTCTGCCCTCTTACAACAGTGTAAACCCAGTGTGAATCTATTGACACCTGTGTAAGAGCACAATTGGACTCTTTGCACTGCCTGCCCAGTGGCAAAGCGCCGGGTCTCGTTTCAATGTGAAATGAGAATGCTTGTCCGAGAAACAGAGAAGCACATTGATCATCACCGGCGTTGCACCTACTTACACCACCGCTGCATTTGGCCCAGAGTTGTGTGTACTTCACAAGAGAACCATGCTGCTGCCGCCAACAGGGGAAGGCTTCAGCAAGCATTCGCGAATACTGAACCAACCCCCTGGCCCGCCCCTTCCTTGTAACAGTGGCAGATTGCGGGTGTTAAATGTATACAACATGCCAGATCCTGTACGAGCGAGCGAGTAGTTTCTATCAGTCGCCTGAGGACACTGCTTCCCCAGCCAGCAAGATTTTTAGTCCTAGCGTTAAAGGCAGAGAAAGCAGCGCTCACGATCCAAGCCCCAAGTGTCTCTTGTGAGCCCACCAGGGTGGTTTTTGCCAAGCACGTTTGAGCAGTCGCTGGCCTGTTCCAACTCTACAGGCTAGACACTTTCATTCTAAAAGGATAAATAATACACGTATCCCGCCTTTATGCAGCTAAACATCAACTGAGTATACACAGGCGCAAAACCAACACAGAACTTGAAGGCAGCCCGGGAAACGTGAACTGCCCATTCACCCTACTGCGTTAACTCTGAACTGTAATGCTAACAGCATACGAGCCATGTTTTCAGGGCATTTACATGTACAGTATACCGTGGGTACATGGAGCTGGGATTCCCAGCTCAAGGAGACACTCTCGTGCTGGCTGTCAGCAAGTGAAACAGGCCGAGAAGAGAGTGCAGCTGTGGCCGTGCAAGCAGGGGGACGGGCTAGCCAGCCTGAGCGTGTGTCTATGGTCTTGGACAGGTGTGTCCTCAGGGACCCTAGCACTCCTTGCCATGGCTAGGCTCCATTATTTTTCATGCACTCCCAGCCCGAGGAGACATGCTTGAGCTAGTGACACACCGTGCTGCGCCACACCCTCCCTCCCCCCATTACTACAATGCTGTGCCAACTGGATTGTTGTGTACGCACAAAGGGCATTGCTCCTTGACGTACCATGCATCCTTCCCCTCTGTCCCCAAGAGATGCTGAACACAACAGCAATCTTTCTTACTAGAAATCTGGTTTCCATGTAAGGGCCATAGTCCCTCCTTGATCTTTGTGCAAATCGCCCACTGTTACAGGCAGAGGATTTGATAGGGAGTGAGGGTAGTGTATCGCCCTATGTTCACGGGCTTGATCATAACTGGAATGGCATTTGGCTCTCCCCATAGCAAATATTCAGCAAGTTCAGCTCTCTGGGGTAGTGATATTTGTCTCTAGCGCTCTGTCTACGCCCAGCACTATGTGACAATAAAGTACCAAATGCATGCTAGGAGCTAGCAAACAAAATAGTTGTATTCTCAGCTATGTCAGTGCCTCTATTTGCACCACGTTCTGCCCTCACTTACACTGATGTATAGCCAGAGTTACACCAGAATTTGGCAGGGGTTTCGGGGGGCCCTTTAGTCTGAGCTCACCCATTTCACTCAGGTTTCAGAGGAACAGCCGTGTTAGTCTGTATTCGCAAAAAGAAAAGGAGGACTTGTGGCACCTTAGAGACTAACCAATTTATTTGAGCACGAGCTTTCGTGAGCAACAGCTCACTTCATCGGATGCATACCGTGGAAACTGCAGCAGACTTTATATACACACAGAGATCATGAAACAATACCTCCTCCCACCCCACTGTCCTGCTGGTAATAGCTTATCTAAAGTGATCAACAGGTGGGCCATTTCCAGCACAAATCCAGGTTTTCTCACCCTCCACCCCCCCACACAAATTCACTCTCCTGCTGGTAATAGCTCATCTAAACTGACCACTCTCCAAGTTTAAATCCAAGTTAAACCAGAACATCTGGGGGGGGGGGTAGGAAAAAACAAGAGGAAACAGGCTACCTTGCATAATGACTTAGCCACTCCCAGTCTCTATTTAAGCCTAAATTAATAGTATCCAATTTGCAAATGAATTCCAATTCAGCAGTTTCTCGCTGGAGTCTGGATTTGAAGTTTTTTTGTTTTAAGATAGCGACCTTCATGTCTGTGATTGCGTGACCGGAGAGATTGAAGTGTTCTCCAACTGGTTCTCCATTTCACTCAGTAACTGCAGAAGAGGTCAGCGTTCCAACTGACTTAGAGAGATCAGGCCCAGCACATTTGACTAGCAGGTAGTGGTTTTCTTTGAAACTTAACTGAAACCCAAACAAAATCCGAGCCTTTTGCTGTCAACAAAACAGTCCTGTTCACATTGGCTGTGCAGTAATTGCCACTATTGAAATGGAGCTGGTATATCATGGCTCAGCAGGTCTGCTTGTAAAGCATTCCAAACCAGAGCTTTGAGAAATCAAATACTAATTATAACAATCCTAGGAATAGACACCTACAGAGTAAGCCTGCCACCCAGGTAAACTTCCTTGCTTTCCGTATCACAGTGAACGGATGCTGGGTTATCTGTCCACGCAGCCTTTTACAATTCAGATTGCTTGCATGGTATTACACTTCTGCCTGCAAGGGGACAATAGCATCTTTGTACAGCATCCAATGAAGCTTCCAGGCTGTATCACGCATACCACTGATTCAGTCCTCCTTTCTCTCGGACTGAACCCAAACATAGCCACAAGGGGAAACACAGCAGAAGAAAAATCTGTGCAAGGAAATACAGTGCAAATGCAGTGAGGCAGGGCTTGTGGCTGAGCTGTAAGGCTGGGGATTAGCGGAGACGGGGTCTACCTTGAGCAAATCACTTCACTGCTCTGTGCCTCAGTTTCACCCTCTGTGAAATGAGGCTACAACCAGCTCTTTCACAATGGTAAGCGAAGGCTCCGGGTAGAATTTGCAGAAGTGCCTTAGGTGCTTAAGCCTTAACTTACGGCCTGTTCACACTACCAATGCTGCACCGATATAGGCGTAGCTGCGGAGCCCCCTAGTGGCTATGCAGTGTAAGCCAACAGAAGGCGCTCTTAGGCCAGTATAACTCCACCACCGCACCCGATGTTCTTAGCTGTGCCAACGAACACTGCTGGCAACACAGTGGCATTCCTCTCCATCCCCCCACCCTGCTAGGGTGGGGGGTTGCTGACATAGCTACATCAGCTAGAGGCTGCGGCTTTTTCCCCCACTCCCAAGATAAAATTGTGACCAGCAGCAGATGTGCGAGACTCCCAGTAGCCCTTAGGGTTAACTCACTTAATTCATCACTGAAATGCAGTTGCCTCTAGTGAGGAACACTGCAACTGTCTTAGCAGCGCTCAGCAGACTAAAGACAAGGCAACCAAGTAGTTCATAGCTCATGAAAGTGACAGAAAGAATAGCACTTCTGCAGACTAATTACCCAAGGTGGAAACTGACCCAGGAACTGGTGCCAACGCTCTTGCTGGTGAAAGAGGTGCCAGGAGATTTCTGATGAGCACTCAGGAACCATGGCTCTCTCTGTTAAAGCCGAGTACAGCGAGAGTTAATTAAGGGCATATAACCCTCAAAAGACAAACCCTATGTTCCAGAAGTATCACGGCCCCTGCTGTGTTCCTAACGTGCATTCAAATCTTCTGCCAGTTTCTATTTTTTAATATTAGCAGAGTGACCCAAGTGCCCCAAGCTTGTGTGTCATTTTCAGCATGCTTAGTTATCAGACAAACTGCTGGAGAGAAGCAATGTGGAAAATGAGACAAGATATCGGCCATGGCGAAGGAAAATTGCTCCTGTGCAGGAATTCTGAACTATCACAGGTTGGCACAAGAACAGCTGGAGGCAACTCACATTGGAGCTCAAGCCACTTCCTCGGGACTTTAAGACAAACATTGGGTCTGCTCGTTATGACACCAAACATGTAGGACCTGACTCTCCATTTAGGTTTACGGATGGTATGCCGTGAGCTCCCCTGAAGAGGGTGGAGTTACATGAAATGGAGAAAAGAAACAGGCAAGTTTTCCACTGGGGAAGGAAAAGTAGCTCAGTATAGGAGAGTCATCGGGGTTATTTTATATTAAAACACTGCCTTATTCCTGGGGGAGTGGAAGTTTTGAAAGTCCCAGCAATCTGCCACTGAGTGGAAAGGGGAATGCATGCTTGGGATAGGGGCTACACTCAGTGTGCTGATGGAACTGAAGTGATCAATGTCCTGGCCCTGTCAGCTGGCTAGAAGTGAGGTGGTAGAGGGGACATGCACACATCTAGAAACAAAAGCTGGTGGGAAAGAGACAGTTTGTGCTCACTCAGCTGAGAGAGAATTCAGGCAGATTGAACTGGCAATATTCTCCCTTTCACTGTGTGTGTGTGTGTGTGTGTGTGTGTGTGTGATGGATTTTGACACAGACCCAAGACACTGGGTGTAACTGGAAAGTTCATTACAATATATCCAAAGGGAATCTGGTTTATTTTAAGATTTTGCTTAAGTACGGCCATTTGTTTTGCTACAGAAAATTCTTAGTGCACTGCATTCCTCTGTGTAAATTCTCTCCGTGTCACAGCAATGGCCAAATAACACCTCTAAATCCCCTGTACAAAGGGCTCCTTGCTGGCTCAGGGTTTTGCAACAACAGTCAGTCTCCATTTATTGCCACAAGTACCCATGATAGGGCTCATCTCTTCCCCAGGCATTTTTGTTTCATGATCACTTGCAGTCTCTTTTAAAGGCGTTTTACACAGGCTGGGGCAAGAGGGCGAGTTAACTTACAAATCAGCACAACACTAAAATCTTGCAAG